CACGTAGCGAAAAGAAGAAACGACTGGCGCGCTGTTGTTAACTCGGCTATAATCGCGTAAGCGGTGACTACGCCAATCAAGAAGAAGAAGTAATATTATATAATAATATTATATATATTGTCACCTAATATACAAAACAACGTATTATCAAAAATAAAGGGAAATTGCTAACAGATATTATAACCAAAATTTAACCAATTTATAACGAAAATTCAATATATTTTTTTTTTATTTTTAACGCAGAAAGGAGTACAATGCGAAAGTACTTCAGTCATCCTGATATTATATAATATGAATTTTATAATATTATCATAGAGTTTTAGTTATTTGTGTTTCTTAAATATAAATCACATATTATACATACATATACATATGTAGATGGAGAAAGTGTTCACAACTCAATTATAACTTGAAAAATGTTGGAAAGTATTTTTTATTGTAATTAATGTAGAAAAAAGAATCACGCAAAAAAACAAACAAAGAAAATTCGTTAAGAATCCTACATGTTTGGTGTTTAGGCTATGGCAACGCTCGTTTTCCTCATAATTGTAAACAATCTTATCTTTGCAACGACGAATGTGCTAAGGGATTTTTAAATTAATAAATTTAGGAAAAATATTACAAAATAAACTTATTTCAATGTTTAGAGTTTTTATTTAAATATGCAGTATGAAAAACGTGAATAAATTTTTTGAAAGATAGAAAAATACCTCGTATTTTAGTGCAAATTTTTTAACTTTTAATAGTTAATCAATTTTCTGTTTAACATATATAGAGAAAATGGTGCAAATGGTTTTTGTATCTTATGTTATTTGATGAATAAAGAAAAAATTATATTCTTTTGTGTCGAATGTAATTAAATAATATTGGTGTAATTAAATATATATTAATTAAAAAATGTGTGAAAAGTGTGTTAAACATAGTGAAATAACGAGCATTGTTTTTGCAAATTTTTGAACTTTAAACATAAATATCTCATAAACTATGAGTCTGAGGAGGGTATATGTGTATACATTTTTTAATCCTGAGGACCTCCTCTATCCATCCGTACCATCAAATGCGCGGCGCCGAAAGAATCGTAATATTGCCTTATTTTTCGATATTCCTCCTCTGGAGAAGCTCCCCTATCCACACATACCCCATTTATACGAAAATTCGGTGTTTTTCTTTATCCCTCCACCAAAGTAATCGGAATCGTGCCGAATTTTGTTATAAAAATCGTCTTGTTTTAGATATTACCTATTTAATGGAAGTAATGGACGCATTTTTTTGATTTGAAAAGACGTGCGTGAGTTGAATTCAGTTGCTTTGCTTCTAATTTATTTCTTAGTTTACACTTTTTTCTATTGATAGTGTTAATCAGCTGTGACCAATTTCGCTATTGAAAAACAGATGGCGCTAAGTTAGTGAGATTATCTACTCAACAGCCCAACTCTTGTGATTAAGTCTATTTCGAAAATGTAGCTATTTTTATTTTCTTTTTGGATAATAGTCCATTTTTTTAAATAAATTTCAATTATTGTACAAAAATTAACAAAACTGTGTTTTGCTGGTTCTTTCTAGCCACGTTTTTTGATACAAAAAACTTTCAAGTCGAATTTTGATACAAAAAACCACCACGCCTTCGGTTCGCCTTAAAAATCGCAAAGGCAAAGTTGCTTAGAATGATCCGTAGAACATTTTATACTGTCCTTTACAAGAGATAGACATGGTTCTATACTGATAGGAGACGTCAATATATTCCAGATTTAAATATTGGATTATGAATAAAACATAATTATGGAAATGTATGGCTATGTTTATTTAATCACATGTTGTCGTTGACATACATCTCTGCATACAAGAAATAATTGTCATACCTTCCGAACACTTCCTCGTTCTAGAAATCAAAACAAATTACAGCTGTCAAATAATAAATTCTCATTGACCTGTGTAGAACAAAAATAATAAGCAACAATTTTGCAAATCAATTCGTTTGTTGTACTTGCGATTTTTTGATTAGTTATCACTTAATAAAGAGTCAAACATTGAAAAAAAAAAAAACTACATAAAAAATGTCGGTGCGTCACGATTGGTATCAGTCCGAAACAAAGGTGGTGGTAACGGTTATGTTGAAAGATGCAGTTAGCAAAAATTACAAAGTTGATATCCAGCCGGAACATTTAAACATGACAGCCGATGGTTATGAGCTTGACCTGCAGTTATATCGTCCGGTTGATGTTAGTAAATGCTCGCACAAACCTTATTCAACTAAAGTGGAAATAACGTTAGCGAAACAAGTTGGCGAACGATGGGATAACTTAGAGAAGAAGGAACTCCCACCACCAACAGCTGCGCCACCACCGCTTCACAAAAAGGACTGGGACAGTTTGGCAAAGGAAGTGGAGAAGTCGGAGGAAGAGGACACTAAAAGCGAAGAGGCGTTAAATCGACTTTTTAAGAAAATCTATTCTTCATCATCTCCAGAGGTACAAAAGGCAATGAACAAGTCGTTTTCCGAATCTGGTGGCACTGTGCTTAGTACAAATTGGCAAGAGGTGTCTAAAGATAAAGTTGATATTAAACCACCAGAAGGTGCGGAATTCAAAAAGTGGGATTAGTCGCATGGCGGAAAATATTGCACGACAGAAACATATGGATTGGACTTCGCATCACTTTAATTTTTCATTTATTTATAACGAAATTCATGAAATAAAAAATTTTATAGTAACATTTACTTATCGTTTCCAAAGCATTCAGGTGTATGAATTTTTAAACGACACAGCTGTAAATTCGGCAAGCATTTTTCAAAAGTTTTTCGAAGAATCTTTCGGTCTACAAAGGAAGAATAATAGCACAAAAAGCTAATAATTTTTGGAAAAATTTTCCTTTTAGTGATTGCTTTTCAGTATTCACAATAAACATAGAATTCGATGTTCAACAATTGTGAATGAGTGTGTTTAAAAAAGAAGAGTGGGTAAAACATCTGTCCAATTGCTTTCGATGACAAAAACAAACGTTTTCTACCAACAAAAATTTAAAAGCGCAATTTTTGGCAAAAATGGCGCGAATTATAGCATCCTTTGCAAAAACCACCATTCCAAAATTGGCTGGCGAAGTGAGCGGATTTGTGGATCTTCATATACGTAGCTGTACACAAAAAGTTGGTAGTGTAGTGAGTTAGTATTTTGTGTTTTTATTGGGAATAAAAATCCATTAACATATGTAATATTGCTTTCCAACAGATGTCGACTGTCGAAGTATTGAAGAAAAAATTAGAAGACGTCGAAAGTCCCTTGCCTAAAAAGATGAAGGTTGAATCAAAATGTGTACTGCGTTTTGCAAAGATGACCGAGCATGCTGAAGCACCGGTACGTGGTTCGCCACGAGCGGCCGGTTTTGATTTAAAAAGCGCTTACGATGTGAATATACCAGCGCGTGGAAAAGCTGTGGTGAAGACTGATTTGCAAGTACAAGTACCAGAGGGATCTTACGGACGTGTTGCGCCACGCTCTGGACTAGCTGTTAAGAACTTTATAGATGTTGGTGCTGGAGTTGTAGATGAAGACTACCGTGGTAACTTGGGCGTTGTATTATTTAATCATTCAGATGAAGATTTCGAAGTGAAACGAGGAGATCGAATTGCACAATTTATCTGTGAGCGCATTTTCTATCCAGAGTTGGAAGAGGTAGACAAACTTGATGATACAGAACGTGGAACCGGTGGTTTTGGTTCGACTGGTATAAAAGAGATCGCTGCCAAAAATGGTAATGGACGTGCGGCTATGGAAACTGAAGAAGTTAAAGATAAAGTGGAAGAAACTAAAGTTGATGGCAAGACGGATGAAAGTAACGAAGTTGCCAAGGATGAAAAACCAAAAAACGGTGATACAGTTCCTGAAGATACAAATGGTACTACTGCTACCGCTACGGCTTAAACCCGAAGGTTATGCTCTGCCGTGATGCAAGATATTTTGCTTAAAGTTATTACTAGTTTCTAAGCTCATCATTTCATTCCCCTAAAATTGCACCATTGTATTAACGCATTGTAATTTGTAAAATTCGCAGCCAATAATGCCATCACATTAAAGTTTTTAACTTATATTTAAAAGCTTTGTTTATGTCTAGAAAAAATAGCTAGTATGTGGAGTTGGACAGTATAGGCGGGTACGATATAAATTTATTTTGTTATCGATGTAAGTTATAATCAATATCTTTACATTAATTGTTGCTAAAATAACATTTTCTAACTCAATACTGATATACTCTGTGATGTCAATTTGGAGAATATATTTTTAACATATACTTGATTGAGACTAAAATAAATAAATGGGTAATCGATTTTAATAATTAATCGGATCATCGATAAATTTATTATAACATCTCGATCCGTAAATCATTATACTGATGTGAGGAATTTATTCTCATAGCACCTTTATTAGATTTTCTACCGTTCTGCATGCGAATATTCAACCAACTGAAAGTAGCAATGAAGTACATAGGTAAGATTGTCGACTGTCATAAAATTTATTTATTTTAAAGATATTTCTTGGTTCGTAGATATTGGTGCTAATCTCACGGACCCCATGTTTCGTGGCATCTATGGCGGTACACAGAAGCATACTGACGATTTGAATTTGGTGTTGGAACGTGCGTGGAAGCAAGGCTTAGAAAAGATGATAATTACAGTAGGCACGTTGAATGAGGCGGATGAGGCATTAAACTTGGCAAAAACGAATGGTAAGACTAACTATAAGCAGTACTATCCAATATGTGCTAAAAATACAACGAATTATATATTTAAAGCATTCATAACACCACAGATCGCCTGACAGTTACAATGGGTTGTCATCCAACGCGCTGCAATGAATTCTCGCCCGACCCGGAGCAATATTATGAAGGTTTACGTATGAAAATTCGTGAAAATCCTGACAAAGTAATCGCTGTGGGTGAATGTGGACTCGACTATGATCGGCTGCATTTCTGTGAAAAAGACACCCAGAAAAAGTATTTCGAAAAACAACTCAGTTTGGCGGCTGAATTTCGCTTGCCACTTTTCCTACACTGTCGCAGCGCACATGCTGACTTTATGGAAATACTCGAACGTAATCGAGACAAGCTATTGGAATGTGGTGGTGGTGTAGTACATAGCTTTGATGGCACTTTGGAGGAAGCAGAAAAAATAATCGCTTACGGTGGCCTCTACATAGGCTTAAATGGCTGTTCGCTTAAGACGTCAAAAAATTTAGAAGTGGTGAAGGAATTGCCGAACGGATGCATTATGTTAGAAACGGATTGTCCGTGGTGCGGCATAAGACCATCGCATGCGTGTGCTAAATTTGTAAAAACCAAATTTGCGACAGTTAAGAAAAAAGATAAATGGACAGCAGAGACACTGGTGGACGGACGCTGTGAGCCATGTCAAATAAGGTAAGTAACTCGCAGTTAGCAAATACCAGTAATAATAAATATCTTATTAATTAACTACTAGTCAAGTGTTGGAAGTTATTGCTGGCGTGAAGGAGAGCGATGCTACCAAACTTGCCGATATTTACTACGACAACACTTTGGAGTTGTTCTTTAATAAATGTAAAAAGTGAGCATTTTAATTTGTACATTCTTGCAAAAATAAATGTATAAAACTCATGGGGAATATTTTTCATTTATTAGCTGTTAAATACAAAGTTGTCAATGCAGTGCGCTGTCGTCAAAACAGTGTTCACACCAGAGACCGACGCCTGAAAGTATGTAAATATTCTCCGGCAAGTCACACACACATGCGCGCGCATATTTTTGTGTGCGGTACCTCCTGTGCGCTCATGCTTGCCTGGTAGAATCGCACAATTTCTCAACTGGTCATGGTCCCAAAACGCAATGAGGTGACCAGCCACAATTTTTTTCATATTAATTTATTTTTATTCAAACGGAATATATTTTAATAGTTTATAAGTGCATTTTTATTATATTTTTTTCATTTTAAGTATATTGTTGATATTTTACAGTTTTTTTTACTTTCTTTTCTTACTTTCTACATACTTACTACCATTTTTAATAGAAACAAATATTTAGCACTTAAATAATTTTTCTTTAATTTATTGTAAATCCATATTCTTTCCGCATCTCTTAAATGCAATTTTAAAATATTGTAAAATCTATTTATCGTGTTTCCCCCTGTTATGATTCACAATTGAGTTGTTTGTTGCATCGGCAGTTGTCAAAACAAAACGCTAGTTGTCTGTTCACAACTCAACTCTGTTGACTTTGCTAAGTTGTATGTGAGCTGTCAAAATCATACAACTGCCATTTATTATTTTGTTTACACGCCTGTTAACGTAAAAATGGAGAGGATCAAGTATGTGCAAGAAAATATAATAAATAATTTTTATTTTATAACATTCAGCAAAATAAATACTTATTTAAGAAATTATAATTGCAGCAAAGTATCAACCAAGCAACAGCTAGACCGCCTTGTCGACTTAGTTACAAAAAATCCCAGCGTTGGTAGAAACAGACGCTTATATGGCTCTAGTCGTGAAGAGTTGAAGAAAATTTGGCAGCAGTTTGCCGTCGAGCTGAATAGGCTGGGACCGCCGTCAAGAACGGGACCCGAATGGCAAAGGGTGAGTCACAATAAAGCCAAAAACAAAGAAGCAAACAATTTGCTTATACGTCTTACTCAGGTGTGGATCCATTATAAAGCTAACCTGAAGCGCAAGTTGGCACGTAATAGAGAAATCCAGGAGGCGAACGAACCCGGCGTTTTCCGCGAAATCAGTTTCTCTGCAACTGAGGAGAAGGCGTATGAAATTACAAAAAAACTAGATTTGCTATCGTCCAATACAACTGAATTTGTTGATGTGAGTACGAATGGTAACGAAACTCCGCCGCCAACTGCCGGGTCGCCGCCGCTAATTACTGAAAACGCCGAACCGCCGCCAAGCAAACATTCAAAGACAGCCGAAGCGCAGATGCATTTACTCGAGGGGATGGCTGGCAAGCAAGACGAAATGCTGCGTACGCTCAGACAACTGCGAAGCACCCAACATCGAATGTACCAGTTGAAGTTGGAGAAATTCAAGTTGCTGAAGAAGCGCGAAAAAGAAGCGAGTGCGCTGCGAAATCTACGAATAGAGCTTTCCAAAGAAAAATTAAAGCAAATTAAAAAGTAAATGTATACATAAGTATATATGTATGTGTGTGTTGAAATTATTTAATGGTTGTAGGCGAAAATTTCCTCTAAAGGATTTGATGAAAAATGCAAGCGCCTTTTAAAAACACTTTTTTTATTGAAAATTATTGCAGTTATTGTTATAATTTGCTTCACATAGGAATCTGTATATGTATATGTAGATTATATTATATAATATGTATGTAATTATGTATGTATATATTGTATATAATTGGTATGTAATTGAATCGATAAGATTTGCATAGTATACGTACATAAGTAGGTAGTTAATTATGCATCTATATAATTATGTATGTATGTATTTACGCGTAATATTCATCGCTTAACTCGGTTATTAGTCTTTCGTATAGTCTGCTAAATATTTTAGTATTACGTATGTATGAGCGTTCATTCTTACAGTTGTGTGTCTGCAGGCCGCATGAGCAGCAATTAATTAATAGTTAACTGCTTATGTTTGATTTTCGGCAAGTACGCGCTTTTCTCATGACTTGTGTCCACTTTGCGTACTCTCTTGTTGTTTTTGCATTTACATAAGGCCTTAACGCGCTTAGTGTCAGCTACAACTTCTTCAAATTAAACTTTTTTCATACAATTTCACACACATTTATAAAGTAGTACAGCTAGTAATTTTACAGTTAAGTTCCACTAAAATGTAAATACATAAATTAATATATACAAAATGTTATTGTTATACGTTTTTTTTGGTTTTATAAGTTTTAGTTTTAACAGATATGACGATGACTTAGTAGAAATATGAATTTTTAATATGAAAGTTTTTTTTTGCTTGAAATACATTATATGTATAGTATTGTTTTATATACTAGCAATTACATTGTAATTGTAAATCATACATTATGAATTTATTTGTATTTATGAAAAATGTTGGCGATTAGTTAATGGATTAGTTTGGTAGTGTAGTTGTAAGCGCCACTCAAATACACACGCACGTACTTTTTTTATGGCGCTTTTGGTTATAAAGTAATTAAAAAAAAAAAAAACCAAAA